CCACTTGGCATTTGAATCTACGCCACAACGAGTGTGACGTATCGCCATGTAGCTCGGGCTTTCGGCAAATTTAGTTAGCCTTCTTGGGTCGGCGTTCTCAACCCCCAAAAATGCACATAAAGACCGCTTATCCAGTGACACGTCTATTCCACGGACACGTGACAGGAACAAGTTTGCATTCCAGTTGGCGTACAGTTCCTGCACCATGCTCAAATTTGCATGCCCGAGGCATTCTAGGAGTTTTTCCATGTTCAGTGCACGCAATCGGCCAAGTACATGTGGGAAGTTTCTTTCTAAAGTTTTGACATAAATCCCCATTTTAGAAACGTACAGCCCCGAGGGCACAAAATCCCTATGCCATGCAATAGCCTCATCATTACTTAAATTCAAGCGAGGTCTCTGTCGTAATGGTGTCTGCTGTGATCCCTCGGCAACTTGTTTTCCTTTAGCTTGACTCGAGGACCCTTCTCCTTGCTTGCGTTTTTGGGCACGGGGACGGTGGTGGAAGATTTTCCTATAACCTTGCCTTTGCTTGCCATATCAACCTATAACACAGATAAGCATGAATGTGAGAATGAATCAACAAATCCGCCTAAGGTTGTCGCGCGCGTCAAAAATGACCCCACACTTAAAACCGAAGGCTCACTGTAGAATATTTCACAATTTTGATCTAAATGCACAAGTGTTACACTCCAAGGTCATGGGTACTCGAGACTTCCCCATGCCACACAATAGCTAAAAGGCACTAATGATGCCACCAAAAACAAGTGATCGATCATGGCTAACTAAATTCACTTTAATGCAAGCAAGTGGCAGATGGTACTTTAATGTCTACAACTATTACAACTACACTAATTTAGCTTACTCTACAACATTCTACAACATACTTCATATAGGATACATGGTGTGGGCACATGTGTGCATTGAAACCAAACTCCCAAGCATGTAAAATCATTCCCACACTTAGCCCAATATCATATGCAATATACTCGGTTACTCAGACTTCACCGGTGCACAATATATTCATTCAAACATTTTAATAAACACCTTGTGGGCATGAAGTGTGTGCATTCTAGTTTAACAATGGTGGAACATTGTGGCCCTCCCAAATTTTAACGAAGTAGAGGGAATTCTAGTTTACAACTCCGTATACAATATACCCACAATAAATTTCGGCCAATAACTGGACCACCCACCATAGAACAATATCTTAAGAAGCCACATAGGTGCAAAATTTGGGGATTAGGGAAATTGGGAGAATGGGAAGTATATGGTCATCTACCTATTAAAATACAAAAAGAAGAAGAAGAAACCATACCTGTAGGATTTAGGATGAGAACAAGAGAAGAACTTGAGAAATTTGTGAGATAGAAGAGTGAAGAAGCTCGGCTTTTGCTATTGAATCGTGAGTGAGAGAGAGAGAGAGAGAGAGAGAGAGAGAGAGAGAGAGAGAGAGAGAGAGGAAGATGGGGAGAAATTCGGGTGTTTAGGGAGGGGGATTTATGTTTTAATTTGTGTTGTGGGTTGGTATGGGTATTTGAGTGGATTATAATGTGAGAGAATATGGGTATATGGGTTGGTTTTTATGGGTATGGGTTAAATAAAATATATAATTAACAAAAAAAATTAAAAACTTACCTGGCCACCCGCAGCCCAACGCTCTGCGGTATGCCTGGCACTGGGGTTTTTTAAACACTGTCTTCAGCGCCACATGTAGCGCGGGGTGCTATTCGACGATATATATATATTTAAATAATTTTCCAATCCCCCCAGCCTTTTTATATATCCAATTTACATATCCCACACCATTCTACCTATGAATTCTATGTCTACAGAGAAAATACAAACTCTATTCTACTCTAACTAAAAATAAATAAAAAGCTAGGCTATGAAAGCAATAAAAATTGGATTTCCTCCCAACAAGTGCCTGATTTAACGTCGCGCCATGACGCAGGGTCTTGCTTACTCATCAGCGAGTACAACCTTGGTCTTCTCACGATCAATTATTCCTTCCCAATAGTGCTTGAATTATGTGTCCATTCATCAAAAATTTCCCTTCACTATTTAAAACTCGCAGCTCAATTGCACCATAAGGAGTGACTCTCACCACCTCAAACGGGCTTGACCATCTCGATTTTAACTTCCCAAGAAATAGCCTTAGCCTAGAATTGAACAATAATACTTGTTAGCCTGGCTCGAAGTGACGTGGCTTGATATGCTTGTCATACCATCTTTTTGTCTTTTCTTTGTAAAGCTTAGCCTTTTCATAAGAGTGCAGCCTGAACTCATCTAACTCATTCAACTGCAAGAGTCTTTTCTCGCCCGTGGATTCAAAGTCCATATTCAACTTCTTAACAGCCCAATACGCTTTGTGTTCAAGTTCAACAGGAAAGTGACATGCCTTCCCATAAACAAGCTTATACGGCGACGCCCCAATTGGCGTTTTGTATGCAGTTCTATATGCCCACAAGGCATCATCTAACTTTGTAGCCCAATCCTTCCTATTCATACTCATCGTCTTCTCTAAGATTTGATTTATTTCTCTATTAGACACCTCAGCTTGTCCACTTGTTTGAGGATAATACGTCGTAGTAACTCTATGGCGGACTCCATATTTAGCCAGTAGGTTATTCAACAAATGATTGCAAAAATGTGTCCCTTCATCACTATCAAGGCACGTGGAGTTCCAAACCTCGAAAATAGGTTCTTTTTCACAAACGCAGCTACCACCATAGCATCATTTGTTGGAAATGCGATCGCTTCTACCCATTTTGATACGTAGTCCACTGCTAGCAGGATGCATTTGTTTCCCCTGGACAATGGGAATGGTCCCATAAAATCTATCCCACACACATCAAAAAATTTGACCTCCAGGATGTTATTTAAAGTTATCTCGTGCCTCTTTGTGATTGTTCATGTTCTTTGATACTGGTCACACTTCTTAACAAATTCATGGGCATCCTTGAATAATGTTGGCCAAAAGAAACCGGATTGTAATACCTTTTCAGTTGTTTTATCGCCTCCATGATGGCCCCCATAGGGTGATGCATGTCAATCATACAACACTAATTCTACCTCATTTTCTGGGATGCATCTCCTTATCAACTGATCAGCACACTGCTTGTACAAATATGGTTCATCCCAATAGTAGAAGTTCACATCATGTAGAAACTTCTTTCTAGTTTTAGATTTCATTTTAGGAGGAAGTATCCCGCTCACCAAAAAATTCACAAAGTCCGCGTACCATGGGGGAGGGTCTTGGGTGATAGCAAAAGGTTACTCATCGGGAAATGCTTCTTTAATTTGTCCACCCTCCTCCACGTGGTCGTGATTTTCCAGCCTTGATAGATGGTCAGCTACTTGGTTCTCTGTTCCCTTTCGATCTCGTATTTCCACATCAAATTCCTGCAACAACAAAACCCAGCACATCAATCTAGCCTTAGATTCTTTTTCTGTAAATACATACCTGATTGTTGCATGATCGGTATGGACTATGACTTTTGTTCCCACAAAGTATGCCCGATATTTCTCAAAGGTCCACACAACGGCCAACAACTTATTTTCCGCGATGGTGTAATTCAGTTGTGATCAAGAGTCTTACTCGCATAGTAGATGGAATAAAACATCTTGTCCTTCCTCTTGCCTAGCACTGCCCCAATAGCCTGGTCACTCGCGTCACACATAAGTTCAAATGGTAAGGACCAATTTGGTGCCACAATAATGGGCGCAACCACCAACTTCTTTTTGAGCTCTTCAAATGCCTTCAGGCAGACGTCATCAAACTTGAAAGTGACATCCTTTTTAAGCAACTTGCACAAATGAGTAGCAATTTTAGAAAAATCCTTAATAAAGCGCCGATAGAATCCTGCATATCCCAAGAAACTCCGAACACCCTTCACAGAAATGGGTGGAGGTAATTTTTCAATCGCCTCCACCTTCGCCTTATCAACTTCAATGCCGCTCCTAGATACTCTGTGACGCAACACGATGCCTTCCTGCACCATAAAATGGCACTTTTCCAAATTCATTACCAGATTTATTTCTTTACAACGGGCTAGAACCTTGCTCAAATTATTCAAATAATCATCATAAGAAGACCCAAAGACCGAAAAATGATCCATAAAAACTTCCACAAATTTTTCCACCATATCGGTGAAAATAGCCATCATGCATCTCTGGAAAGTGGCTGGTGCATTACAAAGACCAAACGTCATTTGCTTGAAGGCGAAAGTGTCATAAGGGCAAGTAAAAGAGGTCTTCTCTTGATCCTCTGGGCATATGACAATCTGGTTGTACCCCGAATAACCATCAAGGAAGCAATAATATTCATGCCCCGCCAATCTGTCCAACATTTGATCAATGAATGGAAGTGGGAAGTGGTCCTTGCGGGTTGCCTTGTTGAGCCTTATATAATCAATGCAAACTCTCTATCCCGTCACAGTGCGAGTAGGAATTAGCTCATTTTTCTCATTCTCAACCACAGTCATCCCTCCCTTTTTTGGCACACATTGCACTGGGCTTACCCAGTTGTTGTCAGAGATGGGAAAGATGATACATGCATCGAGCCACTTAATTACTTCCTTCTTCACGACTTCCTTCATGATGGGATTTAATCTCCTTTGCTTCTCAACACTGGGGCGGTGTCCATCTTCCAGAAAGATTTTATGCATGCAAAATGATGGACTGATTCTCTTGATGTCAACAGGTGTCCACCCTATAGCCTTTTTATGCTCGCGAAGTATTCTGAGCAATTTTTCTTCTTGTACATTAGTTAGGCTGGACGATATAATTATTGGCAGTGTTTCAGAGTTTCCCAAATAAGCATAGCGCAGATACGCTGGAAGGTGCTTTAGCTCTATCCTTGGAGCTTCTTCAATAGATGGCTTAGGAAGGATCATAGTAATAGGCCTGCCCAACTCCTCAAATCTCCCAAACCCATGGACATAATTGCATGACATAGAAAGTACTTGCTCAAATTCGCCCATCATCTCATCTTCACTTCATTCTTCATTCCCAATCAAAGCTCGTTCAAGAAGATCTATGGGGCTCATATAAGGCACCAATGACGTAGTATTGCTTTTCCCTACAGCAATCATGGATAACTCTTCATAATAGGCTGGCAATCTAATTGCTTTATACAAGTTAAATATCTCCACTCGATCACCTACTCTCATTGTCATCTTTCCTTCGCATACATCAATAATAGCTCGGCTCGTGGCTAAGAATGGATATCTCAAAATAAATGAGACCTCTTGATCAGGCTCGTATTCTAAGATAATGAAATCAGCAGGGAATATAAAAGAACCCATTTGAACAAACACATCTTCAATCACTCCTTCTGGATGAGCAAGGGAGCGATCAGCCAATTGTAAGATCATCGTTGTTGGGTGTGGCTCACCCAACCCCAACTGTCCGAACACAGACAGTGGCATCAAATTGATGCTCACTCCAAGATCACACAAAGCTCGCCCGTCTGCATGCTTACCAATCGAAATTTGGATAGTGAAACTACCTGGATTCTTCAATTTCTGAGGTAGCTTGCTTTGGATTTTAGAGCTACATTCCTTAGTGAGTGCTACAGTCTCGAATTCGGTCAACCTCCTCTTATTTGCCACTATGTCCTTGATGTATTTTGCATATTTGGGCACTTCTTGTAGGATATCTACCAGTGGACTATTGATTTGCACCTGCTTCAAAATATCAAGAAACTTTTTATTGGGAACGGAGGTGGTGGCCTTGCAACTACTAGTGGAGGTTGCTCAGCCACCGCCTCTTCAGCTAGCTTCTCTGAATCCTTTGATTTTTCTAATTTTAACTCTATAGTGGCCGACTTCTCATTAAAGGTCACTTGTTTTTTCTTTTTTGACTGGACTTCTTCTAATTGTCTCCCATTCCTCAATGACATAGCATTAATAGATGCCTTAGGATTAGCCTTAGTGTCACTTGGAAAAGCTCCAACTGGTCGAGTATTTTGGGCACAAGCAAGTTGTCCCATTTGGCGCCCCAAACTTCTCATTACTGTGGCTTGGGCCTGCTGGTCAGCCATCATTTTCTTTATCATATCTGTTGTGTGGGCTTGCAGGTCAGCCATCAATTTCTTCATCATTTCCTCAAGGTGACTTGATTTGCATGTTGTTCAGCCTGAGGTGGTCTATATTGTTGTTGAAGTGCTTGTGGTCAGTATTGATTCTGAGCACCTTGGTTTTCACCCCAAGAGAAGTTTGGGCGGTTCCTCCAATTGGGATTGTAAGTGTTCCCATACTGGTTTGTCTGGCTCCTATTTGCATTACCCACAAAATAGACAGACTCAGGATTAACAAGGCATAAGTCACTCGTATGACCCTCTCCACATACTTCGTAAAACAATTGGACCTATTGCACTGGCTGAGCTTGTTGCTTGTTAATAACCAAGGTCATCTGATTGACTTGGTTGGTCAATGTGAAAATCTGTGTTGATAATGCCGAGACGACATCCAACTCGAGAACCTCTGCAGATTTTTGAACTGTGTGTCTTCCTATCTCTCCTTGCCAATCAGGATTGCTTGGAGAATTTGTTCAATAATGCATATATCTCATCAAAGCTTTTCTCCAACACTTAACCTCCAGCTACAGCATCTACCACAATCTTTGTCTCGGGATGTAGCCTTTCTATGAAAGTGTGAGCGAACACTTCGTTTGTCTGATTGTGATGAGGACAATCTCTGAGAAACCCCTTGAACCTCTCCCAAGCTGAGTATAAAGACTCCCCCGCTTTCTGTTTGAAGGCGACTATCTCACTTCTGATCTTTGTAGTTTAGCCTGAAGGGAAGAACCTTGCCAGAAATTTCCTTGCCAGATTATTCCATGATGTAATAGAGTTAGTTGGTTCTGCCTTCAGCCATCGCTTTGCTTCACCCAACAGAGAGAACGAAAAAAGTGTGAGCCTCACATAATCTAGAGTTACCCCGTTAGTGATGTAAGTATCACTAATCTCCAAGAAGTTCAGAATATGCTGTTGTGGATCCTCGTGTGGAATACCTAAAAATTGCCCTTTCGCATGAAGTAGCTGGATCATGCTCTGTTTCAACTTAAAGTGACTAATGATTCTGGGCTTCACTATGCCGGAGGTGACATTAGCAATGCTAGGCATCGCCACCTCCTGAACAGCCATATGTTGCTCCTCTGCCATGTTCACAGAAAATTGAACAAGTGCCTGAAGATTATTTGTATCCCTTGCTTCCCTCAACCTCCTATGAAATGTCCTCTCAGGTTCGGGGTCAAAGCCTTGAAGTCTGTCATGGCTTATGACCTTTTGCATTCAATCAAAGTTCCTGATAACAGAGCAACGATCAAGTAACGTTAGACTTGACGAAATAAACAATTAAAGTAAAAACTAGAAAGTAGTCAATATTCAAGTCCCCGGCAACGGCGCCAAAAACTTGTTACTCCCAAACGCACACGCAAGTATACGTGGTCGTACAAGTAATAAAATGATAAGTCGAATATCGAACCCACATAGACTTGTATTAACTACCCACTAATTTTACCAAGATTGTTATTCTGTCGAGCCAATCTGAGTTCAAAAGTGTGAGTTTACTAAACAATAATTTTAACTAGTAACTAAATTATCAAGCAGCAAAATGATTATTATGTATTCAATAGAGACAAATATTCCAGGGTTACGATCGATTCACCAATCCTATTGTGTTCTAGTTAACTCTCCCCTTCATACAATTCACTCATGATTACTAATTAATCGAACAATTGCTCTCGTAGCCTTCTCCCGAAGTACTACTCGCTTATTCAAAATAGATTTATGCCTATATTTCTATGAAATCAATCTATTAAGAACGCATTAAGATTACGATATTTAATTAATCACGGTGACTAGGTATATTCCTATCCTAACTACAAATCTGTCTCCCCCCCCCCCCCCCCCCCAGAGTTAAGGTCGTGCTTTCTTCAAATCTTCTCTAATCTAAATATGGCTTTCCCAAGCATAACATATATAGTAAATAGAACCTAACTGTTGGCCAGACAATTGAGCAATTAATCACAGAATTGAAGAAATAATCATATATTAGTAAATTGAAATTAAGGTTAAGTTAACGTTAAATACAAATATTCATGGCTAAATCACAACCCCAGAACTATGGGTTTTAGCCACTCATGATAGTATCAAACAATTTCATAAGTGTTGGATAATTGAAAATACTAAGAAAAGATGAAGAAAACTGAGATCTCTTCGCTCCCGAATGTTTCTCGTGTGTATTCCCTCTTCAAAGTGGTGTCCCCCCTCTAAAAATAAGCTTAGTCTTGCTTTTATACGTGTTGGGTAGGTCTAGGGCCGAAATAACCCTGTCCTGGGAAAAATTGGACAAACTTCCGTCGCCAGCGTCCAGCCCAGCGCCCCACGTTGGCCCTGGCGCTGGGCTTCTTGATCATTCTGCCTCTGGCGCCACAAGTGGCGCTCCACGCTGCCTATGGCGCTGAAAATCCGGGGTTTCCTTTTTTCGTCTGTTTTGGCTCTTATCTCGCACCTTTCGCCCCCAATTGCTTCCGGATGATTCCTACACATAAAAACACCCCGAATTAATATAAATTAACACATTTTACATCCGAAATCCACGAAACACGAGTAAAACATGAGGCGATATACATATAAATATATATACTTTAAGCTAAATATCAGTAACCGTCCATAAAAGGTTATACCCTAGCAACCTAAAAAATAAGGTAGATTATTTGTTATATACAACATTTTAAAATATATTGTATATTTTTTTTACATTATCATATCTATAAGTTGAATCCTTACTTTATCTTTTCCTTTTACATTTATTCGGGAGGTTTGGTGAGCATATATTATAGTCACTCACTCATCCCATCAACATCTTGGGTTGCTCTAGTATAGTCGGAGGTTAAATCTGTCAATTCAAAATCTCACTAAATAATTCAGGTATTTTATATCTTCGTCCATGGACTAAAAATCCAGTGACTTTAAGAGTTTATTTGTCAAGCAAGGAAATAAAACGAAACTAGTACTAGTACTATTTTATGGAATATAAAATTAGTTGAGTGAAACAAAGAGATGTAGAAGAAGAACAGCGACCTCTTCTCTATTTTCTCCCCTTATATGTCTCATCTCTATCTCTCTCTATCTCTCTCGAGGGTGTGTTGCTTTCTATGAAAGAGAGAGAGAGACAAACACAGATATGTGATTTTCATATAAATCAACTACACATATAAAACCATAATACATGTCACAGTTGATGAAGGAACTCCATCTTCTTTATTTTTAATATTTATATTCTCCTGCTATATAGTTCAATTCTCTTTCCAGAAGGCGATTGTAGAGACATACAGCACTCACTGCAAAGCAAAGGAGGAGCAACAAAGAGAAAGAAAAAAAGGAGAGAGAGAAAGAGAAAGATATCAGTATAGATAAACGACAGCCTCAGAAACAACAGAGACAGAAAGAAAGAGAGAGAGAAAGAGAGAGAGACATATACAACTTTGGCTTTCAAATCCCACGAAGAGAAAACGATATCTGAGAAACCTTTGTACCCCTTTTCCGACCTGCAAGTTCTTAAGAGGTTTGTGCCTCTACATGAATAAAGCTGAAGCCTTTTATTTATTTATTTTCTAAATTTTTATTGAAGAATTAAAAAAAGAAAAAGTCTTTTTCTCTCCCCTCAACCCTTACTCTTTGCCACACTTATTATCTCTTTTTTATCTCCCGACAATAATTCATGTATATATTCCATGATCTCTTTTTTGATTTCTTTTAATGACTATAAACCGATTTTAACTCTCTTTATACCCGATCCGAGCAGAAAAGAGATGATGAAGAGGAAGACAACGCTGCCATGGGAATAACAAGTACACCACCTCGTCCTTCTATTGTTACATCTCATAATTCAAAGGGTCACATTAATCCAACAATTCTTCATCCTCAACTCTCGAAAAATCCCAATTCTATGTCCCAAGATTATCATCACCAAAGTCTTTTCAGTTTCCCGAATGGGTTCGAGAGATCACAAGTGGAACAACAGCAGCAGCAGCAACAGCAACAGCAACAACACATGGCTCAACAGATCCGTCGAGATAAATTACGAGTGCAAGGATTTGAACCCCAACCGTTTGAAGAAGAAACGAGTGGGCTTCCAGTTTATGATCAGACCGCTGGAATGTTATCTGAAATGTTTAGTTTCCCACCGGGCACGTCAACGGAGTTGTTGGAGGCCCAATTCAACCCGAATTTTAGACACCCGAACCCGAATCAACGGTCTCAGCCACAGCAGATTCCTCCTCCCGCCGGCATGGGAAACGAGTGGTTCGGGAACCGACAAGGAATGGTAGTACCATTGGGATATGCAAAAAATCATAACAATCAGATATCAAGTGCTAGTATTAATGCGGCGGAGTCCATGCAACTTTTTCTTATGAATCCACAGCCAAGGTCACCTTCACCTTCTCCTTCTCATCCTCCTCCTCCTCCTCCTCCTTCAACTAATTCTTCTACTCTTCACATGTTGTTACCAAATCCATCATCTACTTCAACTATAGAAGGGTTTCCCAATCCAGCTGAAGGATCTTTTGGTCAATTCACATGGGGTAATAATGGAGGTGCAAGTGCCAGTCTCAATACCCCTAATGAAATCGGAGCTGGAGTAAATCATGTTGTAGAAAGCCAAGGCCTTTCTTTATCTTTATCATCTTCATTACAGCACAAGGTCGAGGAATTAAGGATGGGCGAAGAAAGTGGAATGTTATTTTTCAATCAAGGAGGAGGAGGGTCTACTACTTCTGGACAATTTCGATACAAGAATTTGAATATTGGTAACAGTGGAGTAGTAGGCCAAAACATTCATCAACAAGTCCATGTTGGGTACGGCTCTTCTTTAGGAGTGGTCAATGTGTTGAGAAATTCCAAGTATGCTAAAGCTGCCCAAGAATTACTGGAAGAATTTTGCAGTGTTGGGAGGGGTAAATTCAAGAAGAATAACAAAGCAGCAGCCGCTAACCCTAATTCTAATAACCCTAGTGGCGGCACTAATGGTGGCGGCGGTAACAATAATACTTCATCGTCTTCTTCAAAGGATGTACCTCCTTTGTCAGCTGCTGATAGGATTGAACATCAGAGAAGGAAGGTCAAACTTTTATCTATGCTTGATGAGGCACGTATCCTTTCTCTCTCTCTTAGGGAGTCAATAGCCAATCATTGTTGTTTATTTAGTCTGTTAATTAAAGAAAAATATCTACAGAAAGTTACGGCATTTTAAGTGGAATATTTTATAAATATAAAATTAGGCCGGCTAGGGGAATATGTTTTTGTCATTTCCGAGTTTTAACTAGATTCTAATTAAGAAATCTTTATTTTGTTAATTAAGGAGTGATTCGACGGGTGGGGCACTAAGCTACGTATTAGATTGCCGACGAGTAGAACAATTAAGTGATCAGAAACTTTCCTTATAAGTGGGAAAACATAGGTTTGTATCAGGGATTCTATTATTGTCGTAATGTTAATTTGGTCGTAAGCTACCATCGGACTAAAGCCTTAAACAAGGAAATAAGCAAGTGCGACGACACTAGAATGCACTTAAAAGTCCATCGTGGTTGGTTTGAGCTGACTTTTAATTTTGATTTCCTTCAATTGCTTATGCAAATACTAAGACGCTGATATTAACTTGTTGGCTGTATTGATAGAAACCCAAGACAAAGCAGGAATTCAACAATCATTTCAGCGTACTAATTAATGTTCATTTCCCAGCTTTCTACCTTTTTTTTTTTCTTTCTCCAATTATTTTTCCTTTTTTTAATGCTCTTATCTAATGCTCCACATTGAAAATTGTTTGAGACGCTTAAGTCACTCGAACTTGGTATATGATCCTTCTTACGAATTGAATTGTTGATCTTGAATTTCTCTTTATTTCTTGAAGTAACTTACATTATATTTTTTAGAGTAGTCTTCTTTTTGTATCATAATCATTTTTTTTTCTTTTTTTATTTGCAAGCAGGTAGATAGGAGGTACAATCATTACTGCGAACAAATGCAAATGGTGGTAAACTCGTTTGATCTAGTGATGGGTTTCGGTGCAGCAATTCCTTACACAGCACTTGCACAGAAGGCTATGTCAAGACACTTCAGGTGTTTGAAGGATGCAATAACAGCACAATTGAAGCACAGTTGTGAACTGCTGGGAGACAAAGATGGTGGCACTTCGGGATTGACTAAAGGAGAAACTCCAAGGCTTAAGATGCTCGAACAAAGTCTGAGGCAGCAAAGGGCATTTCACCAAATGGGAATGATGGAACAAGAAGCTTGGAGACCCCAAAGAGGCTTACCTGAACGCTCTGTCAACATTTTAAGAGCTTGGCTTTTCGAGCATTTTCTCCACCCGTACGTGACTCTCTACTCTATTCTACATTACGAGTTTGATTCCATCTCTATACTATCTTAGTATACATTAATTTATTAATTATTGCAAGTAATATGGCCTACTTTTCAAGTTACTAATCTTAATTTTGGTTGACACAAATTCATGAGACAGACAATTATTTTTAAAAATAGTGTAGTAACTTAATATGGATACCAGGCACATGGTGGTGGGAAACCAAAAAAAAAGTTTTTTAATCCGCTGCATTGTGTTCCTATACATGCTTTAATTCTGTTGACCATAATAAAGTCTAACCTTTTTTTCAATCCCCATGTCTTAACTCCTAACACCTATGGGAATCTGAATCTTCTTACATTTACTGTATAAACAAAAGTCGAAACCCCATTATTATGGAATTATGAAGAGACAAAATGAAGCTTCACACCCATCAATCAACTTTTATTAGTCTAAGACACATTTCCAACATCACTTTTTAGCTTTTCTTTTTTCTTTTTCTTTCCCTTGCAGTGTCTGAGTTTAAAGGAACCCGAATTCAGTGTCCTTTGATGTATAAAGTAAATTTAGCTCTTTCTCCTGGATCCAATGCGCTAGTGCTGTCACCTGCTGACATAGGCATGATTTTGAACATGGAAAAGAAAAGAACCTACTCAATAATCTGACATGCATATAGTAACAATAATGATGATAAAAGCAGCTTGGGGAGCTACTACACAAAAGAAATAAAATTGAATCTAACTATTTATCTAAAAATGAATGCTATGAAAAAGATGAGTGCATGCATTTTTTTTTTTTGTGCCTTTACTGCTGTTACTAGTGGCAGAGAGGTACTGCTGCTGCTGTTGCGTTTTTCTTGGATTTTCACGCCCATGCAGAGAAAAAGAAAGCAAGAAAGTGTCAATTCACATCTACGGATAAAGAAAATTTAGTCATCTCTTTATACGGTTTTGTTAATGAGTCTGATGTTTTTATTTTTTTCTTGGGGTCACTTTTCTCAGGTATCCAAGTGATGCTGATAAGCATCTGTTGGCAAGACAGACTGGTCTCTCAAGGAACCAGGTTCGCTCATCGTCTGTTCTTTCTCTTTCAAGTTTTCTTATTCATATTATTATGCATATGCTGGATCTAGAATTTAATTTCTAAATATTCTGTTCCTTACATTAGCAATTTTTTGTTTTTTTCGGGGAATTTAAGTACTTAATGTTAATCCCTATAATATGAAGGAAATATTACAACATATGACCTGAGCTATTTTTTTAATAATTTATTTTGTTTAAAAAACAAGTTATAAATGTATAGTAATTTATTTAACTGAAGTAAACATCGAGCTAATTAGGGATTTTTATACAAATAGCCCGTCATATTCATTATTTACTTTTTTTAGCCATATACATAGATTATACATTGATTATGATACATAATTATACCTATATAATACATAAATTATCCATTTATTATACCTTCATCGGCTATTTTTAGTTTAAGCACTTTGGTGGAGGGTTATTTAGGTTAATTCTTCAATTAAAATATTGATAAACAGATAGTAGTATTAAATATAATGAGGTTATTTGTGTTGTACATTGCCACCGGCTTGGATATTAAAACTTACGTACTGCTGTACTCGGTAAAAAAACGTTACTAATAGCTTGGGTTGCATGGATTTTTCTTTATAAAAAACTTTGGGATTTTGCAAAAGGGAGGGAACTGTGGAATTGAACCCACACTAATTGTTCGAAAACACCCGATAACACTAGACTTGTATGATTGCATGGATTTGGGTGTTGGTTCTCCACCTTTCTTTTTCTTTACCTAATTCGGGCATGGCAAGAGCCTCTTATTTTTCCATTGGATTCTTTCTACAAAGACATAAATTCTAGATTTATAAAAGAAAATCTAGGAATAGTAAGTGCAGAGGCAAAGTATATGAATGTCCAACCACACGTATATTAATTAAATACGATAGGTAGAGATCTTATGGGGTTTCTCTTCCTTTCCGACAAAATTTTCAAGAAACTAAATATGGTCATGCATGCTGACTCTCTACACTGAAAGATGAATCAACAATAGTATCTACTCCTTACTCCTTTCACATCATTTCATTCTTCCCCGAAAATTTTCTTTATTCAACTCTATGGTGCGTATATGGTATATTAGTATTGTCTGCGTACTAGAACGGAGTAAAGATGGCATGCTATTGAAACTTCTTTTACACCGTTATTATATAAAAGTTAAATTCTTTATTGAAAATGATTGAACTTATATATATTGATTGTATAAGAGAATTTCACACTATAAGTGTAAATTCACATTTTATAGCAAATTATCTGCATTATAATTGAGATTATAATTTATAACTAATATCATTAATCATGTGATGTTACGTGTAGTTATCTTTTAAGTGACTGGTAATGTAAAAGTTCTTTACGGCGTAAGTATGGTAAAATTAAACTCTTATCTGAAGTAACATCTCATATATATCTTTCAAACCTTGAGGTTGTTGAAATATCTCCCAAAATGCAACAAATGAGTGAAAAAAAGTGTAATAAAATATATCATAATGAAAGTTAATGACGGGGTTATTTTTGTATACGAATGTGCTTTTTTCAGGTATCAAACTGGTTCATAAATGCCAGGGTGCGGTTGTGGAAACCCATGGTAGAAGAGATGTATCAACAAGAAGCCAAAGAAGAAGAGGAGGAAGACGATGAAAGAGAGAATAGCCAAAACCAAAACAGTGGCAATAATGCACAAACACCAACGCCTAATATGAGTAACTCTTCTTCTACTAATATGACCACAACTACGACAGCACTAGGAGCAGCTGCAGCTGCAGAGACAGGAACAGCTGCCACAACAGCAACAGCAGCATCCACATTAGGCAAAAGATCCGAAATCAATGCACCTGAAAACGACCCTTCACTCGTTGCAATCAATTCCCATATTTCCTTCTCGGAAAACCAAGCAACTTTCCCGACCAATATTCATGATTCCGACGCCGCCGCATGCCATCGCGGCGGCAACTTCTCCGGTGATGATTATGGGACCACCACTAACGCTGATGTGGGATCCACCATGATAAGATTTGGGACCACTGCTGGTGATGTGTCACTCACCTTAGGGTTACGCCATGCAGGAAATTTACCAGAGAATACTCATTTCTTTGGTTAAAATTTTAGAGGGTGATGCTAATTATCCTTCCTTAATTTATACCATAGTAATTAAACCGAATTTGCTTCTTGCCTCATAATTTATGCCCTTGCTTTTTGTCATAATTAAGCTGCTTTATGTTAGCAATCGCTATGAGAGATTTACTGTAATTGTATAGCAGTAGTAGTAGTACATTATTTTTCCCACCAGCTTTTTGCATATTTGTACTTAGAGTGTTCTGTACCCACATTATCCTTTCAGGATGTATGAAAGCTGATTTTGGACAATAAAAGGAGTCCCAATGAGACAGTATTTTTCATATGCTTTTCGGTAATTTATCGGGTAATTGGAATGTTCATAGAAGCATACAAAACTCACACTGTACAAGTTTATCTTTTTCTTTTTGTCTTAAAAAGTTTCCCGCTCTCGTTTCGGTCAACCTTTCCTTCATTGTGTAGTCTTTAAAAAGTGCATATCAAACAAAAAGCAATCCCTACTTCCTTTATATAAAAAACTTTAATCAGGATTTGAATCAATTTGTGTCATTAATTCGCTTACAAAGTAATTTAACAATTCATTAAGCTTAGAACTTAGCCACTTACTGGTAAGGCTTTTGTAAACTGGAAATTCATTTATTCTTTGCAACAATCTATATATGTCTATTTAGAATTTAAGTTTTATACCTTCACTAAATAAAGAATTTGTACATGTTCAATGTAATATGATTTGACTCCAATAATTATTCATCATCTTTTCTATATTATAAACATATTAAGTGTCTGATTATGTAAAAGTTGTTTTACAAGGTTACCATATAAAACTTAAACACAGTAACTAATCGAAAATTTTCATGTTTAACACCTAGCCCAAGAAGGCTTTTTTATTTTCTTTAGGTGGTTGGGGTGAAGGGACCGGGGCGGGAACATGTCAATCAAAGTATCCCCTTACCCGCCTAGCCCCCACAAATGTTCGGACCTACAAAAGGGTAAAAACGGACAAGTGAGGAAACTTTATATAATACAATAATCATAAGGTAGAAAAATTCTCATGCAAAAGATTCCTAAATTTTTTACACAGTATGGTGATAGAAAGCTACAGTTCATCTGATTAGACGCAATTGCAATATTCTCTCATATTTTATAGTTATCACTAGGCATTTTCCTCGGAGCAAAATCAGTCCAACTGCCACAGTATTATAGCAATTCATATATAGATTATGTTTTACTTTTTGCAATAATGTTTGGTAAGGAAAATGAAGGGAAACAACTACAACTGCAACACTCGCTATCTGCTTTAATTTCTCAGACTTCTTTTTGGCTATATGGTTCCTATTGAGTTAGTTATGTTGCCTATTTTGTCCAACTTACCTTCTCGACCTTTTCTTCAGATTCAAAGAAATTAGATACAAAGCTACAATCACCCTTCACCTAACTTCATCTCTTTCTTTTGTATTTCGTATTTTCATTTTCTTATATTCACCATTAGTATTATTTATTTACTAATTTTATTTCTAATTATTATTTTGCAGAACAATTCTGCCTTTACAATAAGGTGATATGTCAGAGTTATTTGTTGAAATAGTAACACTCAAAATGCTTGGGAAATTTCTCTTTTCCCCTTTAAAGAAGAAAGGAATTTTTGCCACCTTTGTTTGTTTATGGTAAGAGCTAGTGTCCCATCTACTGGGTATATCAAGAAATGTCATTTTCAAGTAATAAAATGCAATGGCATCTATACTTTCCTATATTTATTGTACGGGTTTGGTAGCAGGAAGATATATGATGATTTCTCAACTAGCTACATCACAGCTAGCTCAGTCATCAGATCTGAATTCTTTGTTAGTCCAGTCTCCAGATAATTAATTGGCTTCACAAAACTCTCTAAAATCTTTTAGGATATAAATATATATTACTCCACTAAGTTTCATGCATTCACGTACTTGAATTTGTAGTACGGATGTCGTCTGGATGTTAACAAGTCCAAAGTAACTTTTTATCCCTATAGCTAGGTGCATTGATTATATTGACCACCAAAATTTAAAACACCCTTATGAAATTCAGTACTCGCTCTTTATTTTACATGTAGTTTAAGAAATACTTTGGCATACTTTGACTATAACATGTCAATAATCGTAAAACGGAAAAATTAAAGTTAATAAGTTTCAGACATATATAGATAGATTTTATTTCTGAAGTACTAATGATAAAGAAGTGTCTTTATGAAGTGGAAGTGGGAGTACTTATCTTTTTTCATTTTGTTTCTTCTTAATTTCCTCCTGCAACTGACAGGTAATAAATTTTTGGAGTAATTAGGATATGTCATGAAAGAGTGACCCCTCAGAATTGTTTGTTTGTCTTTCTCACTGTTAATTTACTATTCCCACTGCCAATTAATATGAATATGAATTGTTGAAGACAGTGACCATAAGTCCATAACCATAGTTCGTACAAATTGTATTAGGATATTTAAAATCTTGTCTTCAAATAAGTAAATTAAATGAAGACTACTCTTGGAAGTTAGGCTAAGGTGGGCCCCTATTATGATTGAATGCAAGAGAAAAAAAATGGACTGTTTCATGGGCCCCAACTATGAGGGAAAGGCCGAAGGATCTTTGGATTATATGACACAACTTGGTGTTTGGGCTTTTTAAGTTTGAACCCAATCTTAGCCAATCATAAAGAAACCCACTTTATTTTTTTCCTCCTTTTGAAAAGAAAACCACATTTTGATTTTAGTTTTTAATTTTCTGCGATTTCACCTCTAAAGACAAGCCACTGAAATTGTTAGGTAATGTGGTCTGTCTAACTTTAGATAGTTTTACATTTCTATTAATTTTATTTAACCCTTCTTTTCCAACAATTTGGGTTTTACCTTCTTTATTTTGTTATTGCCTAGAGTCTTGGCCTGTTTGGGAAATGAATACTTACATGAAAGAATGTGAGCAACATATTCAAAAGATAATGATGAAGTTAGCTTAAAATCTTTGTAAATTTCTCTGTGGAGTCCTATCTTAATACTAAAATTTATAAAGCTTTTGTGAGACCTATCGCTTTTATAGGAGAAGAAAAGTTGTCACTGTAGTCCTGGAATTCCTAGTGCTACTGTTATAAAATGATGCATAGAACGATCATTTTCACCATGCAAGTATTTTTCTAGTAAAAAAACTCCAAACTTACAGAGGTATTCTGCTAAAAAACCAATATTGATCATGACAAGAAATACAGCTAGCTACTTTGTACTCTAGGTTAAGGACCATTATATGGTTCAGAAATAAACATTATTAAAGCAATGAATGTTGAATGAAAATGAGATTGAGAACTTTCAGTACAGGGTTTCATGATTTCAATCTCCACAATAATAAGTGTAGCTAGAGCTAGCAATTGGACCACTTTCAGTCTTACTACTAGTACTAGTAGTGCAGTATATCCACTTCACCTGTTTAAAATTAATGGAGTAAAGAGGACCCCCTCCTTAAAATTTAGCACCCACCAATGAAAATCAAACAAGTACGTAAAACATATATCCGCCATTAAATTTTCTCTAGTCATGTCTCTGATGACCTGGAAAACTAATGTCGTCAAACTATAGAAATTTGTATACCATAGGTTTTATCCACACTAATTTAACGAATTGTATTGCTACCCAATTCGCTCGTTACAGAGCATATATTTGAGAAACTTATACTTTCTACGATCCAATACATTAGCATTTCCCACTTTAGCTTATAATGTACAATTATTTCTGGATGTGGAAAACATTTCAAGATTCAAGATAAACATCCTATATGAGTAGTATCATTTGTATAAGGAATTACTCCTCAAATTGTTTCTTCTCATATCTTTACGATTGAATGCTCTATTATGTAATTCGTTCTTTTCTGCCAATACTCTGTATTCTTAAGAATCGAATTAAAATCCACACTAGCTAATTTCAGGTATTGTCATAAAATACGTTCTAGCAATGAATTAGCATATAAAGAAAAAACAAAAAAGGAAGTTAAATTGATCTAACTTTCCGGAAACTCTTGACGTGAATAGGTGGAGGAAAAAAAAGGTCAATTATTGGAATGAGATAGACAAAAATATCCCATGGGTTGGGATATTCAATATTTTATGGATTAGCTATCCTACCTTCTATATGTGATAGCAAATCTCACTATTTAAATATAAATTATAACATGATTCCCAAAACTAATTAATCTCATAACTAAAATAAAATAATTCCTTATTTTGTCCCAAAATTTATCTAATATCTCACATATCAAACGGACCCAAAAAAAGTGAGTAACTTAGGGCAGGTATTGAGTATCTGGAATATGGAAGCCATAAAAGTAAAAACATGGAGCAAAAACATCCACACAGGTGCACGGGTGAAGGTCTTTATTGTAGACGAATTTTAAAAAGAAGTACTTTTAGACCGTGTGATCTTAAATATGCCATTACATTTCGGTAGGTATTAAGATTATGTGTCATGAAGGGAATTGGAAATTTAAATATGAATTATTTTTCAATATTAAAAAAATGACTAAAAGAAAAGAGTGTCACGTAAAATAAAAGAGACATTGGTTACTTTTAACTTATCTCCCTAATTGAATAAAATGTTCAATTATGTCTTTTCCTGGAGAAAAAAGAATTACAAGTCTTAACTTGCAGAAATTATCTATAATTACTTGTTCCACTCCTGAATGAACGCCAACACAAATCCTAATTAGTTGAATAAGGATCCGGCAACAAGCATGGCTTTATCACTCCACATCTTATAAATGGGACCATAAACGCAACACATAGTACTATATCCATAATTAAATTATTAAGTGGAGTAAAAAAACCAAACATTTGCTTTGGTTAACCAAAGTCAAAAGGGCATCATCAGTGTACTAGAGTTTCATAATAAAAGAATTTATGAGAGTATAGTTAGCATATCTGGGCATTGCAATTTCGTTAGACCTTTTTTGTTTAACGACTTCATTTCTTTTTTAGGAGAAAAAGGAAAGAGATAACAAGTACATGAACTATACCTTTATTTTTTCTTCTCTCCAAACTGGAAAAGCATATTGCATGGTAAAGGCTGAGTAAAAATAAAATAGTTAATTATTAACTGAACCTTATTATGCTAACAGATCTCCCCCATAACTAATGAGACGTTGGGGATCGGACGAAGCTAAATAATGACAATCAGGAACATGGAAAAAGGTGTGCAAAGGCAGTGGCGGACTCAGGATTTTACATAAGCGGGTTCAACAAAAAACAACGTGAACCGGCGATATGGGTTGTATCGACGAGCGGGATTTGTCCGGCGCTTCTTCTTTGGCTTCATAAC